TTTCTTCCTGCTCGCTCAGTCTTCTGGCCAGTAATAAGCCATGGAACCAAGCTTTCAGCTGTGACCTTGGCGACACGCCTTCTTTCAAGACAACAATGACCTTGATTCTGGAGGCCGCATCGTTTGACGGGAAGAGGGCTAAGCTGAATGTCGCCCAGTGTTCCGCCCAACCTTTACTACGAAATCTACAACCTGGAGCAACCTTGGCCGTGGAGGGACCTCTTCGATTTCGTCTTCTTCCGCCACATGAATACCGCTTTTGCCGACTGGGGTGAAGTGTTTGAAAAGGCTCTCGGGTGAGGAAACGGAACCGCTCCCCAGTAGACTGCCCCATGACTGACTCTGCTCTCCACAGACACCTCGAGCCCGGCGGCTACATTGAAGTGCAAGACAACACCTTCCCCATCATGTGCGACGACGACACCATGCCGCCCAACTCGGCCATTGCGCGGTGGTCGACCCTGCTGATGGAGGCCACGGAGCTGATGGGCCGCCCTTGCACGGCGCCCTCCCACTTCAAGCAGCTGCTCGACGGCGCCGGCTTCGAGGCCATTGTCGAGGTGAAGAGCGTCTGGCCCATTGGGCCGTGGGGCGCCGGTAGCAGGAGGGACCGGGAGATTGGCGTGTGGTGCCGGGAGAACTGTATCGAGGCGCTCGAGGCGTCCACGATTCACCTGTTTACGCAGTTTCTCCACTGGCCCGAGGAGGACACCCGGGACTTTTGCAAGGAGGTCGAGAAGGAGATTCGGAGTGGTCAGGTCCACGCATACTTCAACGTGTAAGTCTTGTGAGGGTGGGGAGGTGGGATGGCAGACGAGTGCCGTGTGCCGTTGTCTCCTGTCCAACTATTAGTTACGTTGAAGCTCTACTAACTTTCATGCAGGTATTGTGTTTATGGGAGAAAACCCTACGCTTGATCCCCCATTGGGAGAGGCTGAAAAAGATGTGTGCATTTTGTTGAATTAGAGATGTAATTATGATACCCTTGGGATTTCGGATTAAACTACACTTTTTGGCGCGGCGTAAGTAGAATGGGAGATGCCCCAAGGCGGTTTCAGTCGCTGGAGAAAATGGTGATGAGGAGGAGAACACCGTCCATTGGCGTTGATTTAGTTCGTTAATCATTCAATCGGCACCACCTAGCTAATTCAACACATGGATCGATTCCTGGGTACTGGCGTGAAAAAGATTCCCGGGTCGAGACCAGTGTGGCGGGTTCAACTTGTGGCCAAGCAGCGGACGACTCAAATGCCATGAAGCTTCCTCGAGTACTATTGGGATGAGTCTGAATGTTACCGTAAATAGCTATCACAATACATGTATCTCTAAACTGCTGAACCATGACGTTTGGATTTGGTCAAGTCGCAAATGGCTCCAATAGAACAACGGTCCTTACTTACTCTGCCCAAATTGCCTCCATTCGACGAATTCGGCAGCGCTGAGCGGCGCCAATCGTCCTTGTTTCCAACCCCCCCTCCTCCTATCCTCTCAGGCTCGGCCTTCTCATCAAATGCCATACCTATTGCCCATTAGGTCGGTCAGGCCGCGTAGCCCAATCACGTTCGGCGTCGAAATGTTTGCAGAAACCCACCTAAGCGAATGAGCGGAGCCCCCGTGGAGGATTCATGTTGGCGCGTAATCGTAGGGTGGGATTCAAGCAGGGGGGGGAGAAAGGGAGGGGAGGGGAGGGGCATCATTTCTCACGGATTTAAGCACGCCGAATTGTGTCTTTCCCCTCCTCCATTCTTCCCTTTCTTACAACAGATAAGTTGTATCATCGTCCCGTCGCCTCTCCAACGCACCCGAATCACCGTTCGACTTGCGTGAGAAAGAGAGAGAGAACCAACGAGATGACTGATTTGAATCAAGGTCAGCAGCACGCTGAGCCTGACGAGGTTATCGTGAGTCCACCGTTGAAAGAACTCTCTTGTGATTCATTGTTGTTATCGTCTCAAGATTACCACAGCAGGAAACTGATCCCGTTGCAACAGGAGGCACAAGACGTCGAATCGGATGTATCCTCGACTAGTGGCACAGTAAGTTTTCCCAGTCCTGCCAGTCTGTCTCACACGCCCTCTACCTGGCTGACAATCTTGCCGTTTCGTGTAGTCTGTTCAAACTGATACAGACTCGCTGAGATCAAGCATTCGCGACTATCGCAGGGAAAATGGTCGCACATATCACAGCTTGAGTGATGGATGTGAGTTGAAGCATCCATGAATTCCCCATCTCTTGATCAAATCAGCTAAACACACACATATTTTAGCATATATCCTGCCAAACGACGTTGTGAGTTCATGAAAATGAGTTTGTCTTTTTGAGTTCTGGAAAATCTAACTTGTCAATTCACCCAAAGACGGAACAAGACCGCTTAGGTGAGCCATTCTCTGCCTGCCATCTTACCAAGCCTGCTCATACCAATATTCCACAGACTTTCAGCATCACTTTTGGTTGCTGACTTGGGATGGCAAACTCTGCATGTGTCCAAAGAACAACGGAGCGAACCGTGTCCTGGACATTGGAACGGGAACCGGTGTTTGGGCCGAGGAATACGGTGAGTTTCCTTCCCGTACTCATTAACGAGCCACTGCTTTTTTTTTTTTTTTTTTTTTTTCAAAATTGTCTTCTAACGGCGTCACTATCAACAGCGGATCGAAACCCAGAAGCATTGGTATGTACTATGTACACCTGCCGCTCATAGTCATCGATCTGATGGCGAAATCGGCTTTTATTGACTCGAGGTGAATCCAAAGGTCCTTGGTGTCGACTTGAGCCCCATTCAGCCGGAATTGTAAGTATACCTGGGCACACGCAAACCCTCCTCCCCCACTCTTAGGCTCTTTCTCCAGTCTCCACGAATGATCTCGCCGGGGTGAAGGTGGCTGATCTTTCTATTTAACCCCAGCGTTCCCCCGAATTGCAAGTTTGAAGTCGACGACGTTGACAAAGAATGGACGTGGCAGGAGCCGTTCGACTTCATCTTTGCCAGACACATGAATGCATGCTTCGCAAGCTGGGAAAAGTTCCTCCGCCGTGCCTACGAGTAAGCAGTCGTCCTGTCCTCCCTCGTTTTCAATTCTACCAAAACTCGACAAGCCCCCAGTTAGACGTTTGAACTTTTCTAACATATTTTAAACCACTTTCCAAAAAACAGTGCTCTAGAACCAGGCGGCTTTATCGAGCTGCAAGACAACGCCTTCCCCATCCTCTGTCAGGACGACACCCTGAAGCCAGACGACCCGATGGCGCGCTGGTCGACCCTGATGATGGAAGGCACAGAGCTCATTGGCCGGCCGATCACGGCACCGGGCCGCTTCCGGTCCCTGCTCCAGGAGGCCGGCTTCGTCAACGTCGTGGAGCACAAGCGTGTGTGGCCGACGAGCCCCTGGCCCAAGAACCCGGAGCTCCGGGAGCTCGGGGTCTGGGGCCAGGCGTGTAGCCTGGAGGGCATCGAGCCGGGCGCCTTGGCGCTGTTCACGCGCGTGCTCGGGTGGACGAGGGAGGAGGTTGTTGTGTTTATGGCGAGTGTGAGGAAGGATTTTAAGAATGTTGGGATTCATGGGTATTGGAACGTGTGAGTTGGGATTTTCCACCCCTCTCCCCCACCCCCCCTTTCCCGCGGGGGTCTCATTGTCAGCGGATGAGTGACGGGAACTAACTACATCTCAGGTACTCTGTGTACGGAATGAAGCCATTCGAGAAACCTACCCAAGAGTAGAACATCCGGAGTTCAGGAGTCCGTAGATTCAGAGACGTTTCCTCCCGGGTCCGGTTTGGTGCAAAGGTTTACTGGCCGGGTTTCGATGTTGATCAAGTTTACAAGGTAGACTCTCATTCCCATCTATTGTAGATACACACACATATGGATTATACGAATTGAACTTTCTAGATGTGTATATTTACCTAGTGAAGCCTCCTGAGCAAAATGCCTCTTGGCAAATGGCACGACGGCAACCTGCATCTAATGTCACGGTTTGAATAAACAATCCTTCAACCCCTTTGTTTTCTCTGGCCTCGACTGATGGCTAGGAAGCCCCAAATCTCATAACCAAACCTTCTAGATGGAATGGCGTACTTCCAGAAACCATAAAGACAATGCTGCAAGCCAAGGATTCACATTCCTCGCCCGACACGCACACAGTCAAACCCTCACGATAGGACGTTGATCCATTGAATAAGTACTTTGTCTCTCATCTTGGATTACCAAGGTTTCTGAATTGCGTTTCAATAAATCGGTTCTCCCATTTCCAAAAGAGAAAAAAAAAAGAAGTCAGTAGAAAGACAATGACCATGAGCTTCTCAGATGCTTCAAAGTCCCTGACTCCCTTTGCGAACCTAATCCAAAGGGCCAGTCAAGTCGACCTCATCAAGCATGACGAATACTATTGTGTGAGCCGCATTCGGTGCAGCAGGTCTCGTTCTATCCCTTCTTATGCCCAACAGACTTGACGAGGTAGGGGCTCTTTTAGAAAAAAGGCTTGGGGGAGAATTCTGATCGTGAAATGGTGCCCGCCTGGTTTTGGGAGGCTCAATTGCTCATTTGCATCCCATTGGACCTTGGTTTTTGTTCTGGAGGTACATTTTCTCGGCCTCTATGCTTTTTGTTTTGAATCATGGCCAGTGATGGCTATTTGGATCAAATGAACAACACCTTTGAGGGGACTGGGCCGATATACATCATTCACAGCAGCTTTCGCCAGCTCCGTCCACCCTCACAAGCTCCGAAGTCAAGTTGAGAATGGCACTACGACTGATGATATGAATCTGCTGGCTCGGTTTGTCTTACGTACTGTGTTGTATTGTATTTTTCCAAATACATTGGCTTTGCCGGGTTATTTCATCAATGAACATTCAACTCTGGTGAGCTCACTTCATCAGCCCAAATATAATCCACAAGAAGGTCGCGCTCGATAACTGTAAATACACACAAAAACCCCAAACACAACTTTACCATCGCTCCAACCACAACCCTACCGACTCTGCCCAGCAGAACCTAAGCCAACGCTCCCATTCTCCATCCCGACCACAGGCTCAGCAGGCATCTCGTGCCTCGGCTCGCACGCCTCCAATTCAAATCGTTCGCGGCTCTGCGCGGGAAGCTCCAGCTTCCACTCCGCGGCAGCGGCGGCGTCCTTTTCGTGGAGCTGCCGCTCGGCGTAGACGAGGATGTCGCCCTGCGTGTGGACGGCCATTTCCCTCCTCCTCTTCAGGTGTCTGCGGATCAGCCACGCGAGAAATCCAATGAGGCCCAGGGCCCCCAGTGTCGCCCCGACGGCGACGCCCGCGACCGCGCTGCTTGAGAGTTGGTCCTCGTCGTCGGCGGCGGCGGCGGCCGTGGATACTGACGGGGTTGATGTCGATGTTGCTGTTGCTGATCCGAGAGCGAGGGCTGGGGTGGAGGATGAAAGTGTTGTTTTTAACGAGGCAGATGGTCTTGTTGAAGATGTAGACGTGCGGTCGGTTCGGGTGATGTTGAAGTAGTGAGACGTGGCGCTACTGCCTGTCTGGCCCGTCTTGAAGAGTTGCAGGAAGTACACCGGGCTCATGTCCGGGTCAAGCGTCGGGGGAAAACCGGCGTAGCCTACAGTCCAGACCAGGCTCTTTATTGTGGAATTGACTTTGCAATGGCGTCAAAATTCATTATCTTAATGGGGTGTAGTTTGTAGACCCGGGGAGCAAGGGGGGACTTACTCGCTAGCTTGGCATATGGGCCCTTCATGTTCGCCGGTGGCTGCTGTTGCCACAGAATCAGGTCGATGTTCTTGAGGTCCGTCTCCCATTGCAAGTCGATGTTGTCGCCGAGGGTGTAGACGGGGTTATCCCGGAAGTCTCCTGCCGGACCCGGGCCCGGCGGGCGGCGGAAGCGGTTCTCCGAGCGCGCGCATGCCGGGAAGATGAAGAAGACACCCAAGAGGATTACCGCGAGCATGTGTATCATTAGGGCCGGTAGTGGTTATTTGCTATCGTGATCGTGGTCTATATCCAAGTGAATAAACGAAAAGACATTGCACAGTCGAAGAGTGCGAAGCCCCTCTGGGTCGCAACGAGGGACACATTGTGTTTTTGCCTCATTTGTTTCTTCCCGTTGCAAAACCGTTGCCCTGCCTCCGCCTCGACTGTGCGCGATGGAGGGATGAAGTTCTCATTTTAAACATCCTAGCGACGGATCTAGTCAGCGTTGATCTAAGCCTTAGTGTCGTTTCGGAGACGTTGAAGCCTGGACGCTACCGAATCTGCCAATCATTTGTGCGTTGCCAAGACGGGGCCACTTCTATTTGATAATCCAGAAAGAAGTTCGAGAAGATGTCACGGGAGACGGAGTATTACGTGTCTGATTTGAGGATTGGTTTGTTTCGAGACACTCGGGGCGTTGATTTGATCGAGAACGAGGATGGCAGTGCGGCGATGCTTAACGAAGAGCACCCAACTCAGAGCATTGCATTTACCTTGCTGACTTTTTTCATAACGAAATGAAGACCCGGAAGAGGATTAAAGGATAACAAATAATCATTCATGCAAAAAAGCAAAAGAAACTCCTCGACGGGGAATTGAACCCCGGTCCCCTGCGAATCGTTGATTTACAATGACAAGCAGATATCCTCACCACTAGACTATCGGGGATTGGTGGACGTTTTCATCCAATGATAGTTGGTTGACGTTTCCGGAGCTATTGTGACTCCAAGTAGCTTAGGGGCTCGAGCTCTAGGGCTCTGGTAGGCGTGTTACATGGTAGGGCCAGATGATTCGGGAAGGTCCAGAATTTTGGTCACGACAATGGTAACTACATATTAATAGGACGCGGAACCGAAAATCGGCATTTTCAGAGATTGGAAAGATCAGGCGACTGAGGTCGTCTTGTCGTGAAATTCGTAATCGGCCTGCGATCTGTTGGGTACTGAATGGAGACGCTAATACCCGTTGATATTGTAAAACACAACCCTGAGACAGAATGGGGACGAGACTCATTGCACATACTGTTTTCCTTGAAGGGAACCAATCTTGGTGGATACAAACGGTAATGCTTGATGGATTAATAACGACTTGTGAGAAGCAGTCTGTTTGACAAATGAGACCACAAAAGTGGACGGGTACTTGGGGCTTTTCATGTGTATAATTGGTACATCAAAGCTTTAGATAGGGCCCGATTCACAAGCTGAACAGTGTTGTTGCTTGCCCTCGCAAGTTGGTCCCAGACGACGATGCTGAATAACAGGACAGCGAGGCATGGTTAGGAAGCTGCGTCAGAGCACATTTCAGCCGTTTAGGTGCATTAGGCACTCACCGCCCGGGGCAAGGTCGAAGTGTAAACACAGATGACTGGACTTAGTGAGTCTCTGCGGCAAGTATGGGCAATTCTGACTCACGACTACTTCTTCTGTAGTATCTTGAGATGAAGCTGAGAGTTCCGGGATGTAGAACCGATGCTGCCCGCTCCGTGATGCCACAATGCGGTCTTCACGAGGAAAATTGTGAGCATTGGGATCATTTTGCGAGGGGTAGCTGTCTGTCCATGTTCAAACTCGAAGTAGTGAATATAGACAGCAATCTTGGGGCAATGCAAAAGCAACCATGCATGCATCTTGCATTGTTTGCTGGAATATTCTTCTCCGGAGCAAAAATTCCGGGATGAGTCCCGCAACCCCACGGCCCCGTTACACCGGAGCGGGGCGGGGGGTAACGTGGATGCGGCATCGCCAGTTTCGTCACCTCGGACCCTCATAATCTTTGATCAAAGACGAACACAAAAGTGAATCTGACGCCATGGCTGGATTTGACACCCAAAAGCTGCATTCTGGCACTTCCAACAGCTTCCTTCCTGAGGACAGAACACCTATTCCCTTCTCGTCTCTGTCGTCCGACGCTTGCTAGGTGCTGCTTCACCCTGCATAAGGGTTCTAGCACTACGCCCTTTAGTCTCAGGGTCTCAGCCTAGTGTTTTCCCGAGTCCTGAAGGGTCGCCTCAACGGCGATGACGACCTCGTGGCCTCTGGTATTCTCAAGAGAGACTAACAGCCCATTTGCTTTGGAGCAGACGTCCTTGGCATTTGTGTGCTGGTAACATGACGGCACTCTCCTGTCCCCCTCGTCGCTGCATTATCCGGCAGCGCGTGCCTTACATGGACGAACAATCAAAGGCACGGGGTCCAGACCCAAGAAAAGCCACCTTGGCGATGCTCGTTCGTCCAACCTCCACCAACACACCCCTCCCGGGATCGTCATCCTGCTTCCAAACAAATACACAGCCAGATTCCAGATTCACAGGGGGATGAACAAGGTCGCGGATCGAAGGCAGGGCCTCTCATATCCTTCATTCCAGTTCCTGGCGGTCAGTCATGCACGCAGGCTGTCATCATCGTACATTGGCGCCACATGTCATCCCGCCGACGGCGCGTCTAGACCCCGAGGGTCCTCTCACGCACCCCTCCCCGGTCAGTAGTGTGCCCTCTCGGCCAGGGAAAAACCAGCGTTCCTACCGTTTGGGACTTCACGTCCGCGTTACCGGTGGGGAGACATGGAGGAGGGGTACACTGGGGTGGAGGGACGACGTTCTTTACATCATCGTGAGATAAAGCGCTCTTCTTGTCCGCCAAGGGGGGGTAAGGGGGGGTACGATGGGGGAAGTAAGAGAAGGGGTCCGAAATATTGGTATTGCTCTACCGAGAAAGAAGGAAGGATACGGCGCGCCTAGCGCTTCAAGACGAGACGGGAACGAGATTGTGTAAACTTCTCGACACGCCCCCGAGACAAGAGAGCAATATGCCATCCCAGTATCCGTACGAAGGGCCTCGGATCACACCTTGGCATCATTGATTGCTCTTCGGAGACGGGCACGAGGCCTCCTGTGGCTTTCGATGTGCCGGCTCTCCATCGCCGCCCGGCATCGGGGTCTTGGGTAGTCGGGCTGTAGAGAGCGGGCTAGTCAAGGCCCGTGGGTAAGGGGATCTGGAGACACCATGCTTTCAGACGATACGAAGGAGATGAGATGACGGGATGAAATCGCCAGCTAGAAGCTCGCCGACATACACAGCCAAAATCGGACTTGGAAACACGCATCGCTTTCGGGCCATGAACACTGGTTCGTCAACACGAGCCGGCAAAGTATGCTATTGAAAACATAGGCATAACAATCCCTTCACCCACATGGAAGGGAAAGCATTGGCTCTCTTGCCCTAGGTAGGCTAGACACCATTACAATAAATGAAGGAAATGACCATAATCATGTGGTCGTACTGCCAGCACATCGTGCTGCCAGACCCACGGCTGAATGCCCTTCACTTTCGCTGACAAGTCGACTGACAGCAGGATGAGGAATCATATGGGCAGATAGCCCTAGAGCCGTAGTGGGGAGAATGCATGTGAGAATCCCAAAAATCTTGCGTATTGAGAAAATGCGGAGAACCTCTGGGGAATCGCATTCTTTGGGAAAGAAAAAAGTACCCAGGCTCCGGAATTTGCTCGCAGGCGTTCCCTGTCAAAGCATCGAGTTCGACGATGGTCTGGAACCGCGAGGGTGGTATTCGGAAATACATCTTCTCCATCAAACTGGCCGTCGCAGGCAATTGATCAGCACGGGTGGCCCCAGTATCAAGGCGATATTGGCCGCCCCGGTAGAAGAGTGTCCTCCCCCAAGCACCCCTCTCCCAGCCAGATGGATTCTGCGCACCGAGTGGGTTGTTTGAGAAGGATACTGGTCGACTGGGACAGTGACCCCAGAAAAGCAGGTCGATTGAGGCAGGATCGGCGATGTCAAAGACGAGACACCTTGGCTGGTTTTTGACTGGAACCGGAACCAAGGAACTTAGCGCCGGGGCCAGTGCTGGAGTTAAGTTGGACAACACCCGGGCAACTGGCACGTTTGCACGTCGTTGGCTTGGTCAGTGGTCATGGTTTTCGCCGTTCCGGCCCCGAACAGCAGATGATCAGGGCGAAGACGCGCACACGATGAAGAAGAAAAGAGTGGCTCTCCGTCCAGTAGCAGTCACGGCCGAGAGGAATGTCGCTCGATCCCTCACGATAGATCGAAGATTCACCGGCAGGTAAGCGCGGAAACGCTGGGCCAACAGACAGGGTGACGGTCGATCAAAGAAAACCTGGAACGGTGAGCCGTCTGACGGTAGGTATTGGGTGAAGATAGCATGTCCACGCCGAGGCCGTGGGCCAATGAAGAAGAACAGCTTGACGATGCCTAGCATCGAGGAGCGGATGGGCAACGTTCATCGCGATCGCAGACTGGCCGGATCGACGTTAAGGGCACGGTTCAGTGCTGTCTCTGCGAATCGGGTTCCCAACCTTTTCCGAAGGGATGTTTGGACTCCCGGATACTTGATTCTAATTGTGGACATGAAGAACGACGGGCTCAAATGAGCATACACGAGAAGTGCGTGAGCTTGGTCAACGTGCGCCTAACGCAAGGGCAACCGGCGGACAGGGAAGGATTTGGGGGATGGGGGATGGGGGATGGAAGAGAAACGGGGAATAATTTACACCTGAACGGGTAGCGAGGAGCACAAATCAATGAGAAAAATGGAAAAAATCTGATGGAAAATGGCTGATGCTATCGGAAAGGTGTGGAAACATGGGCAAAATTGGCATGGCATCGAGATCGAAGAACGAGACGGCGCCAGCGCGGGTAGGGTATCCGCCCGTAGCGCACACGCGAAGTAGGACGCAGAGACACCACTGGCGTTTCGATCGAGTTTCGTTTCGATGACCGATGCGGAATCATGTGGTTAATACCACCTACGGTTGGAGGACGGAGGACTTGCTCCCCAGCAGGGCTGATCGCGCCGGGGAAGGATGGAAAGAATGAAGAAAGTAGAAAGTTTTCAGACGCTATGGAAGAAGCTAAACTTACCTGTCAGTCACATCTTGTTTACGCCCTCGATGCGGTTCGCGATGGTGCTACGAGCCGATCAAACTAGCCACCTGCCCGATGCC